TTCATCGCGATTTTCAATTTGGTATCAGACCGAATTACATCTAAAGGAGCACAAGAGACAAGTTTGATGAGATCAATTGGGAATGCATGGTGTAAATCAAACTAACAATGCATATAATGAAAAAGTGTATTGTCAACATAACCTAAATGACCACTTGAAATCAAATAATTTAATCTAGAGGAAGAAGGGTGACCTAACTGAAAATGTCGAGTTTCATATAATACTATGGCAACACAACCACCGAAAGAGTTGGAAATATTTAAGAAAACAAGCTTAAAGAGGCGTCCCGCCAATAGTCTGTGCCACCCGTGGATCCTGCACATGGTAACCATGAGAAGAGAAATGAATGTCACAATCAAGTTCACACAATTGTCTTATGAAAATCAAATTCAGTGAGAGTTTGAGAGCCAGTAAGGTGTTAGGCAAAAATAATGTGGACGACATGGTTGATATTAGATATGATCATACTAGCATTTTCAAACTCCGGCAACACCTTGGTAAACAATTTGAAATGAAAAATCTTGGTCGAATCAGTTATTTTCTAGGCTGAGAGGTCACTTCAGATTCGTCTGGTTCTTACTTTTCTCAAGCCAAGTATGCCACCGATCCTCTTTCTCAAGTAGGACTCAATAACAACAAGGTCACTACAATCCCTATTCAGACCAAATGTCAAATTTGATGCTAAAGATCAGACTCTTATTTCAAATCCTTCACTTTATCGACAATTGGTCGGCGGTCTTATGTATCACTGTTACTCGACTTGACAATGCTTAAGCTGTTCACATTGTCAGTCAGTATATGATTGCGCCTTGTACTGCTCATTTTGCTATAGTCTTTTGAATTATTTGCTAAGTCAATGGTACATTATCTAATGACCTTCACTTTTTTGTTCACTCTCCCTTGGAGTTGACAGCTTATTCCGATACCGACTAGGTTGGTGACTCCCAATATCGTCGCTCCATTACGGGCTACTATTCTTTTTTGGGCAGCTCGCTTATCTCATGGTGTGACAAGAAATAGACCACCATCACTTGCTCTAGCGCAGAAGCAAAATATCAAGTTGTCATTGATACGTCATCAGAGTTATTATAGTTGCGAAGGCTATTGGAAGACATGTGAATGAGTCATGACAGGCAATAATCATTCATTATGATAACCAAAGTGCTATCCATATAAAACATACTGATATTTTTCACGAGCGCACTAAACACACAGAAATCGATTATCAATTCAATCGATATCATGTGTATAATTGCACTATGCAACTCATCTCTACTTTATCTGCTGACTAGATTGCTGATATCTTCACCAAGTCATATCAAGATCCCGGGAAAAGTGTCAAAAAAGTCTTAAACCTTTTGCATTGGTGCTAATTTAGTCCTAAATCTTTTTTTTTGTGCCAATTCAATCCTAAACCTTTTGTCTTTGTGCCAATTTAGTCCTTTCAGCTAATTTTGGCCAGATTTTGCTAACGTGGACGCCGACCGGCCTACATGACCGCCGGTGATGATGTGGATAACTTTTAATAATATTTTATGAATTTATTTATTTATTTTTAAAATCTTTTTTTCTTTTTTTTTTCTTTCCCTTTCTTCTTCCTCCAATCGCTAGGCCCGCAAGCCCCGCCGGCCAATGCGCGGGCTCGATCGATCAGTGAGGCTCACCCTCGCTAGTGACGGTGAAGGCGAGCCTTGCTAGCGGCTGGGGGAGGCACGTCCTCGCCGGATCTAGCGAGGGTCGCGCCTCGCCCAGCTTAGCTCGAGGCTGCCCTGGCCGAATCGTCGCGAGGGCGGCCTCAGCCGAGGGTCGGCCTCGCAAGGCATGACCTGACGGTGGCCGAAGGCGAGCCTCGCCCGGACTAGCTAGATTCGGCGAGGTTGAGCCTTGCCCTCGCCAATGGCCGATGGGCGAGCCTTGCCATTGACCAGCGAGGCTAGCTCGCCTGCTATCTACCAGCGTCGGGCCGGAAGAAAGAAAGAAAAAAAATTCAAAAAAAATTAGTAAAAGTTGTCTACATCAACTCTGGCGATTAGGGGTGTGCAACCGGACCGGGTTTACTAGGAGGCTCTCGTTCACTTCACCCATCCGCCTCGCCGATCCGTGCGTCCTCGTTCCCTTAGTCTCTCTTCTTCGTCTTTGTTGCAAGGTCGATGGTTTCGAGCTCGAGCTTCGAACTGCTCTAGTGTTGGGAAGTGTTCGAGTTCGAGTTTGAGGTTTTGCGTTCGAGTTTTAGGGGTTTTTCGCCGGGCTTGGGTTGGTGTAGAAGATTCTCTAAGTTTTGATGATCAGAAGGACTTGAAGGAATAGACGCCATTTGATCTTGCGGAATCCGCTTGTCTCGAGTTTTTTTTTTTTTTGAAACTTTTATCTCTTGCTTCTTGGATTTCTGAGTTTGTTTAATGGAAGAATGTAAGCGTTGGTTGCGTACTCGACTTCAAAGTGGTTGGCCTCAACTCGAAACTCTATATGTTGAAAGCTCATTATACTCGAACTCAAGGTTATTATGATCTTGTCGTCATCCTTTGGATCATTCATGCAAGATCGCCCGCTTTAGAGTTTAGATCGCAGAAAGCTTCTCTCAAATTTTTGGAATTGTCGTAGTTGGTTTGTGGGATTAGCTTCGTGGTGTCGGTGCGCGCGCGTCTCTGTGTGCTCATGTTGGCATTTGTGTTCCCTTTTTCCTTCAATTTGGTCAATTCTTGATTTGTTGCGGTTGGTTTACCGATTGTGACATGGAATTCTAGTGCTTGTTGTTGCTTCTTGCTCGATTAGTCCATGAGCTCTAGCTTTCTTTTTTGTGGTAAAGATTAGGTCCAAGAACTGGGTGTGTTCACATAGTAATGACTTTCAGTGAGATGGTTAATTCTGCAAGAAATATTTTGTCTCTACATTTTGTTCTTTGTATGCTCAAAAGCTCACGATCGATCATGTGATGTCGACCCAAACCCGATTAGGTTGCTTTGAAATCAACCCCTTTGTTGTGTTGTGTTTGATTATATCGGTTCGATCTCTAATGCATTGATTGAATTTGTTGTGGCTAAATCCGAAACTCTCTGGAATTCATATCTCAGTTAAAAACGCATGAAAAGCTTCAAATATGTTGGTACAAGTATCGAGTTCATGTTTGGTTAGCTTGGTCGCATTCCTCTCCCTATTAGTTTGGTGAGTGTTTGGTGTGCAACAAGTGTGACCTTTAGGCTTTCAGTTTACAAGTTCTTTTGTTTGGCTGTGCAACAATCTTTTGGCTCTTACTTAAATTTGTTTTCAGTAAAATCCTGACATTGTTGTATAATTTGATTTTAGTTGATGGATCAAGACAAAGACACATCAATTGAAGTGGATGGATATAATGAAATGAGTCCACTCATGAAATTGCCATTCGAAGGAGCTGCTGAAACCAAAAAAGGAACAAAAAATGAGTTCGCTCATGAAACCGAAAAGGAAAAAAAAAGGTTCTGTAGATCCAAACCGGACCGAAAAACAGGTCGGTTCCAAAATAAGGCCAAGGAAAACATGGTTCGGTTTCGGTTCCAAAATTGTAACCTCAGTATAGCAGATTGGTTTCGGTTCCGTGTCCGACCCAACCCACCCCTGGAACCGATCACCCCTACGGCGATGCCATGTAGCTGGCCGGTTGACGTCCACGTCAGCAAAATCAAGCCAAAAGTTGGAAGGACTGAATTGGCACAAAGACAAAATGTTTAATATTGAATTAGTTCCAAAAAAAGGTTTAGGATTAAGTTGGCACCAATTCAAAAGATTTATGACTTTTTTGACACTTTTGCCTCAAGATCCTAAACCTTCAAACTTGAATTAAACTTTATAAAAGCCGGAAGTTTCAACAAGTTTATGTGGTGAATGACTTCCCGATCTCACCTACAACTCGTTTGGTCTCTTGCATAAAAGGTCAAATATTATCCAACTGATTGATGAATATTTTAGTGGAATATAAAAAGGAATTTAATTTGCAGCGATGCCCTTTGTAATATCCAATATTTTATTACCAATTGAAAATAGGACATCTTTGTATCCGGGAGATTTTTATATCCCATCCGATCTTATCCGATCTCCATCCACAAAAACACGACCTTCGCGCATTGACCCCTGTTTATGTTCGGTTTGACAATCATTTTCCACGAGCGCGCCTTGATTTTCATGCGTAAGGATTGGGCTTATTTCGTAAAGGATCTCTTTAGAAAGTGCCGCCCACCGCTTGTCAAGATCCATTTTAAGAAATTCGCCACTTTTTCGATGCATTATCATTCTCGCGTCAAGGGTAATCGACATATCACAAAATCGAGACATCCCGCGCTAAGTATGCTTAGCAAGTGCACTTGTCAAGACACTCTTATAAGGAAAATGACATAAATGGTCTTTCAACTTTGGCTTAATGTTTAATGTGGTTCCTGAACTTTTAATTTGTTCAATGTGATCCTTGAACTTTATCCCAATATGTATTATTCTCCCCGAATTTTTAATGAAATTTTTAATTTATTCAATGTAATTCTTAAATTTTATTTTAATTCGATAAAATTTAACGATCATTTGTGTCATTTTCTATAAAATAAAAAAGCCCACATTTTGGATGTATGGAGAGAACAGGACAAGGCGATGGTGATTCACGTGATGACGCGGGGCGAGAAAATGATTCTCATTAGTAACAACGCCATTGGTTGGCAGATCCTCTCCCCAAACCCGTACAAGAACAACCGCGACCTCGGAACCAAACAACAGTTTCGCCCCACGAGATTCGCCCAGATCCCGCCACGTGTGCATCGCATCATCCCACGGGGCGTCGTACATCGTACCTCCCTCTTTCTCTCTCTCTGACTCTCTCCCCTGCGTCTCGAGCTCCGCCACCACCACCACGACATCACACCTCCCCCAGCACCTCTCTCTCTCCCGGAAATCTCCTGAATCGCCGTCGTCAGCATCGAAGTGTGACACGACCCACTTCGACACACGTCGAGTTCTGTAAGGCAGCAGCCGGAGAACCGCCGGAGGGGAGAGGCAGGGGAGGGGAGGGGAGGGGATGCATCTGATCAATGCGTTGATGGTGACCCGGATGGCGACCCGGGACGACCTCGGCGCCGCCCTGGGGGGCGACATCGCGTTCGGGTCGGTCTGGTTCTTCGTCTACGCTGGGATCTGCTGCTTCCTGGTCCTCTTCGCGGGCATAATGTCGGGCCTCACCCTCGGCCTCATGTCGCTCGGCCTCGTCGATCTCGAGATCCTCCGGCGCAGCGGCACCATCGCCGAGAAGAAGCAAGCTGGTGGGTCGTGCGGGGGTGTTTGTTCGTATGTTTGTGTGTTTGTGTGGGTGTGTGGTTGTTGCGTGTTTGTTTGTTCTCGATTGTTGATCTGGAATTTATGAGGACGGCGGCGATATGGGTTGACTTGGTGGACTTAGATCTTTCTTTCTTTTTTGTTTTTTTTAATGCTTACCCTTTGCATTTTCTTTGGGAAATTTCAGCTGCTATCTTGCCGGTGGTCCAGAAGCAACACCAGCTTCTTGTGACTTTACTTCTTTGCAATGCTATCTCAATGGAGGTAATGCATTGAGATCATTTCGTTGAGCTTGCGTGGTAAATTTATCTTCGACGAAAGTTGTTTTGGCCCGAGTTGGCGGCTTCTCATTTCGCATGGCTATGGCATGTGACTTTGCTGGGTCGATTCTGCGGACCCTGATTAGTAAATTGAACCTCACATTTCCGCTTGGCTTTGCGAAAGAGAGGGGTGTGGTCTCTCTGCTGGTCGATCGAGAGTTCGTTTGAACTGTGTGCAAATTACTATCTTTGGGGGCCTTCTGATGTTAATCTGGGTTTGAAAAGCATGTGCCTACATGTTGCCAGACAATGAGTGGCTTTAGGTTGAAAGGCTTGGGCTAGCAAACCTTTGCCACTAAAATTTCTGTCAGTTAATTGTTTGAATTGCTCATGACACCCTTGTTTTTTGACATTTGTAATCGGCAGGCCCTTCCCATATACTTGGATAAGCTTTTCAATCAGTATGTCGCAATTGTACTTTCTGTCACGTTCGTGCTAGCCTTCGGAGAGGTATGTGTTTCCCCTAATTTGTGTCACTATCGACATTCTTCTTTATCTCTTTCATGATTGGCTCAAAAGGATCTGACCCTCTTGTTTTATCTCGTGTGAAAGGTCATTCCACAAGCAATATGTACCCGATATGGACTTGCTGTTGGTGCCAATTTTGTGTGGCTTGTTCGGATTCTAATGATTATTTGCTATCCAATTGCATATCCTGTTGGAAAAGTAAGTAGTTACTGTCTTTTGGAGTATAGTCATTATAGAATCACTTTTGACATAAGTCTTACCGAAGCTTAAGCTGTTGCGCATGTAAATAGCTTGTTTGTGACAGAACTGACTCAATTGTCCAATTCATCGGACCATCACTGTAATCCTAAATCTGGTAGTGTGAGGTCCTAGTTTCTTCAAACTCCATGGTAAAGATACAGTGTCGGAATTGTAAATGTTAATTTTTAGACACGCAGGTCTAATACAATTTTAACGGATCTTCACTATACATAAATATGGTAAAATTCAGTATGAGAGTAGCAAATTACCTTATGCAATGGCCATGCTGGTGGTTGACTGATGGTGGAAGCAGTGATTACCGTGGTTGCCACTTGCCAGCAGTGTATATGGCGAGAGCTGCAGTACACTGGAGGAGGTGATAAGGAGTAAGAGGTGGTCCATGGTGTGATGGTTTTGGGAGGGGAGGATGGTATCTGTTACACGAGTTCTGGAAAATCTCTATAAAGTAGAAGTCATTGTAATTCAAATATGCATTTACTAAAGACCTGTTTTTATTTATTTCACTAAATACCTACGATTCTAGTATTTTCTAGTAGTTAACAAAAGAGCCTAGTCTAAACCTCATCATTTATTAGATCTTTATAATGCACTGACAAGTTGGTGGTTAATCTAAGGTCTGAAACCAGCTTCCAATAGGAAGTCACCGCAAACCTTAGAGCAAATGATTTCTCATTTTATTTTGTGATAGTTCTAATTTTAAGACATCATTCCTTCTCCGTCCTTTGAAGCATTTCATTTTTTGTTGCTACAATCAAGTAAAACTGGTTTGTAACTGAGACCTTTGACATCCTTTTCATTGGTTATTGTAGAAATAGAGAGATGATTGGCTTGTGAGCTGGTGGCCTACTTAATTGCTCAGTAGTGCCCAAAAGTTATGGGTAAACTTGCCTCATTTACGGGTATCTGCTCAATGGTTTTAGGTTGAAAGCACTCACGAGGCTAAAATGCTAAGACATGGAAAGGGCACAAAGAAAGAAAAACTGTAGTATGAAACAGTGAGACGTGACTTCTTGTTGGACTTAGGTTTTTAGACTGAAGCAGCTCAGTAGCTTCAAAGTATTTTCTGCAGCATGTTTAGTGCATGTGTATCATCTTCACAGATGTCTACGTCGAGATCCATTTTTCCCTTACTACTTCGGACAAATGTTTCACTTGACTGTACATTTATTTCATTGAGCAAGAATGTCAATCCTTGGACCTATGACTCTTAATAAAATCTTCTTCTATATGGAATTGTGTGGATGAGTGTAGGTAATGTACATTCATTTTCCATTTTGATGTTGGAAGAAAAATTTATCTCTTTTGGCCAAAGTTGGAGGGGAATATTTTAAATGATAATTTATAATCATAGTCATTGCGTTTCCTTTTCAGGTTCTAGACTGGGTGTTGGGTCATAATGAGGCCTTGTTTAGGCGTGCTCAATTAAAAGCTCTCGTCTCCATCCACGGTCAGGAGGTACACGAAAAGTTACACTGTTCCATAAGATTCTTGCATGCAAATGGGTTCAAGAAAGGAGTTGCATTTTGATCTTCCTCATGGTTTCTTTTTCATTTTCATGACTCGCGATTCTGTTCTTTGAAGGCTGGGAAAGGAGGTGAACTCACACGTGATGAGACCACGATCATTAGTGGAGCCCTAGATTTGACTGAGAAGGTTTGGAGCTACTAAATCTGAATATCTTATTTGCTTCTTCATGTAAATCTGAAATTCTTGCTTGGCTAGATTATTTCTTTATCTCCCCCGTTGTGTGAGCATCTCTGTCTGTACTACAGCAGCTAAAATTGCAGAACTTGCGTCATCTTTCTGATATTTAATTGATTATGCAAAGCTTGCGAATGTTGTGTGAGCTTGTGTTTGCATTGGTCAGTTATCTATTAGTGCAAGTATGCATGATCCTGTCCTCAGTATAAACAGCAATTGGTTTGCATAGTTTCTACTCTGATATATGATGATGTTTTCAGTTTCAAGAAGATATCAGCATCAACTTATTTCCATTTCCCTATCCGCTATAAGTCTGGTCACCATGGTACTATTACTTTTTTGGCTGATAATCTAACACTCTGTTTTTTATTGCGGTCCAGAACTTTCCATCGAAGAAGTTTCCTCGTATTAAATGAGATATTTCTAGGTCATTGCAGTGAGAGAAATTGATATACTCAAAATTTCTCTGTGTAGTCAGAATTTGATGTGAAGATAGACATAGTATTATTGAAGTAAGATTGCTATACCAATTGCTATGGTTTCCTCTTGACAGACTGCGGAGGAGGCGATGACACCCATTGAATCTACCTTTTCTTTAGATGTTAATTCCAAACTGGACTGGTAAGTTACTAAGATACTCAGGAGATTTGTTTTAGTCTGAGCCCTCTACGCATTCTTTCCAGGGTCATATATGATAGAATGAATCATAACTTATTCCGATTATTCTGAGATCTCTACATAAGTAAGTCGTTCTCTAAGTCACATCTCATTGAGAAGATGATATAATAACAAAGAAAGCAGATATATTGAAAGCTTACATAAAGTTTCTTGGGTGGACTTGTATCATTAGCTGTTCACTTGCTATGGGGCTCTGAAGAATTTTTTCATCGTGTTTAGTTAAACTATGTCTAACAAGCAGCAACTTTGTTGTAGCTGGCTATTTCCCATTGTTTTATAGCTGATTATGCATTCTTCCTTTTTTCTTTTTTTATCTTGAAATGTCGATCCAACAACCTGGGTACCTTTGAGAATAATTTTTGTCGACCTGGTTGTGATCCATTTAAGAAAATCTTAGGAACATATAGACTAGATCTGACATTTACAACATAATTGTTTAGGGAAGCAATGGGAAAGATTCTTGCTCGTGGTCATAGCCGAGTTCCTGTCTATTCTGGGAATCCCAAAAATATCATCGGTCTTCTTCTGGTATTTCTCAAAATCAAAATGCTCACTATATCTCTATTCTTTGTAACATGGTTCCTTGATTTGTGTTCTGTGTCCCTCTCTCTCTCAGGTGAAAAGCCTTCTCACGGTTAGACCAGAAACAGAGACCCCTGTCAGTGCAGTTTCGATCAGAAGAATTCCGCGGTGTGCTTATTGATATTTTATAATAAGTAGCCATTCCTTTAATTATAAGAATATGGCATGAGGTTTAAGCTGGATGTTTTTGCCCAGGGTTCCAGCAGATATGCCCTTGTATGACATACTGAATGAGTTTCAAAAGGGTAGCAGTCATATGGCAGCTGTAGTGAAGGCCAAAGGGAAATCTAAGAATCTTCCATCAATGCCGGATGCAGACAAACTGGAAGAAAACAAAGTCACTGTGGGAGATTCCCAGTTGACTACTCCCTTGCTTGTTAAACAAGATGAAAAAGCTGATGTTGTTGTTGACATTGAGAAGGCAAGACCAGTCAATGTAAGTAAACAACCTAATGATGCCTCGACGAATGGCTTGCCTCATTCATCGGAAGATATTGAGGATGGAGAGGTTATTGGCATCATCACTCTCGAAGATGTATTTGAAGAACTTCTTCAGGTTTACTTTGTTGCCTCATCAATCATCTGCATAATTTTCTTTTTGATGACTATAATTTGAGAATTTACTTGACCAAGTGCAGGAAGAGATTGTTGATGAAACTGATGAATATGTTGATGTCCACAAAAGGTATTGCAAGAATCAGATGCTGCATGTTTGGTTTATGTAATGCCATTTGATTCATTATACAATGACAATGGCCGTCTCTCTCTGAACTCTTTTGGCAGAATCCGAGTGGCTGCAGCTGCAGCTGCATCGTCAGTTGCACGGGCTCCATCACTTCGGAGACTGACCACCCATAAAGGAGCTGTAAGTTGATTATTCTGTTTTCAAACCACATATATTAAACTGAACTTAAAAAGAGTTCTTAAAATTAGGCTTTGGTTATAATCGTTCGCTCAAGACCAAGTAGTGAAATGCCAGAGCTTTATTCGAACTTGTCAAGGATGTAGGAGATAAACAAAGATACCAGGATTTGGGTGATTCATGAAACTACATTCTTGAAAACGAGTCATCTACCTCTATTTAGGACCGTTAAAAACCGAAAACTCTTTGCTCATCTGACTTTTCTCATTCAGACATTAGTAGCTCGGCATGCTGTTAGAAGTTAGTAGTGAGAAAACCTACGTGCACTTATTTTTTCCATCGTTTTTACTAAACTTAGTTGTCAAGTTGGCACATTATTTGTATTTAGGAGCAAAGTGCAACACATTTATACTAAACTTAACAGGATGTGAAAAAATAATGTTGTGGTTTTGATAAGTCTGAAAATTTAAGGTCGTAAAACATCACGTAAATTGTTGGGATAAAACTATGATAACCTGTCATGATTGGCGGGGATGAAATGAGATTATACTTCGGAATGTCAGCTTTGTGTAAGTGTGTGTGGAACCCGCTGCTACCAGGGTCAATCTTCTTCCCTCTATTTCTCCTCCTCCCCATACCCTAACCTGAAATAGCCTGGAAAAGAAGAGAATTTAAAGCAAAAGTCATTGATAATATTCCCTTCTCTGCGGTAAGGCATCATTTTAATGCTGAGAGACAGCACTTAATGAAGGGGTCTCAACTCTCTAAGTATAATGTGGATGGCAGTAAGAAGCTGGAATAAAGTATTTGAGGTGAATTATATGATAACCAAAAATGGTGAAATCATCACTGTCTCGAGAAGAAGAATTTTGACAGCAGAAACAGCAATTATCATCTACTCGCCACAATAGGATATGTAAATGGGGGAAAATGAATGGGAAAATTTTCACTTGAAGATGTCACTAGGAGTTGTTCAAGTATATTGACTTGGGCCTGATGAAATGACAGTGGACTCAACCACAAACTGCTTAAAAAAGTCGTTTATTGAATATTATTTTGTTATCCATGCTGACTTCAGATAGATATGACCCCAACTTTGTACTCTTGCTTGGATGCTTCTAGCTCAATTTGCTTGGCCATAATAGGCAATTCTGTTATTATGGCCCACATGAGCAAATGAATTGGCTTAGTCACCAGCGCCTAAGAATCTGCTTTCACGTGGTTCACAGGGAGGTCAAACCAAGCACGGGCAGGTCCCAAGAAAAACTGCTGAGGATGATCCCGGTTCTGCTAGGTCAACAGGTACTCCAGGTGAGCCTCTGTAGGAGCATAGATGGTACCATACCAACAAAGACATCTGCATCATAGTATGATGATTCCAAACTGAGGTTTTTGATGCTAATGTCCCAATAAATTAGTGCAACTTGATATGTTGTCTTTGCTGCAAATTTTGATGATGAGAAATAGGGAGATTTGTCATATAATGAACGAATGACCATATTGAGAAATGGCTAATTTATCTGGTCAAATAATATGTCTATACTTGAATGAGCTTTAATGTCTCTTTGTTAGGTTTGCAAACCCCTGGGGCCTCGGCTTGAAGTTTTGGCGAGACAAACATCTGGTAAATGCTTCCATGAGATGTGGGAGTTAAAATTGAAGGATTATGAAGAATATGCAATTATATAGCGAACGGCTTTAACTCGAACTATCTTCCTGCCAGAGTAATTACTATATCCCGTGGAGCGGAGAGACGCAGTCATGAAGTTGATAATGCCTAGCATATGTCCAGATGTTGAGTTGTCTGATGCAATTTTGTTTGACTGGGGCTCATGTTCATCGTCGCCATATAATTATATTATTTTGTTTCCGAGAACAGAGGAAAACAATATGAGTTTCATCAGTCAAGAATAAAGATAGTTTTGACCCTGATTAAATGCACAATTTTTCATTAGTAGAATATCCAATGATTGTGTCCCCCTTGTGGACCGAAACGGTACAGTGTGCACTGAATTTCTTTGTAGCGGGCGATGTCAAGGTGGTTTTTACTTTGGTCAACTCCACAAGAGGCAAGAAAGTCTGCTTGCAGTCATGGAAGTTGTCTAGGCTCTTGTGTACTTTTTGGGTCTAGAAATCAGCCCTAAAACCTATCATGAAAGTCCAATTAAGTCCTCAAGCTTTCAAAAAAGGACAATCAAGTTCTAAAACTTGTCAAAGTAGTACAATCAAGTCTTTCTATAAACTTAATCCAACTTGACAAACGGAAAGCGCTAATAAGTTTTTAAGACTTGATTGTACAAACTTGACAAGTTGTAGGACTTGATTGTACTTTTTGAAAGTTTTATGGCTCAATTGCAATTTTGTAATAAGTTTTAGGACTTGTTTACAGTTTTTAAAAATTTTAGGACTTAATTGGACTTTCGTGACAAGTTTTATGACTTCTAGTACATTTATCCCAAATCGTTTCAATATGTGGGGAGAATATACAAGCCATATTCTTTATTCAACCAGGTGAGTGGATATGAATTAATTTTAGTCGTTTTTCAACTGAACAAACAAGATTTCTTTTGGATAGACACCATTTACCTCAGATGAAAAATAGCATATGCAAAGAACGGAAAATTAATATCTTGTTGCTAATAACCTACTTTTCATTTGACATGGCATAAAGAAACCTCCCTTTATAAGGTAATGGCCATTGCTTTCCCTTGTTGTAAGTTTGATAATAGTCAAAACTACTTAGAAGAGATTGAATTCACATAGCTTAAGTTTAATATATGTATAATCTCGCAACATGCCTTTCTTAAAAAAAAGTAATGTCATCAATTTCGAAAGTTGGCCTTGATTAAATGATTATCATTTGTATCAAGCACCTTACATGAATTCAGTGCAAGTACAATCCATACGGTGCTGTGTTTGTAATCTCATGTCCAACTCAATTTTGTTTTCGTATCACAGTGGAAATCATCACTTCTGATTTATGTTAATGAACACGAATTATTTTTCTTTCCTTTAAAAAAAAAAATGATGAGCATTATTCTAAAGTTGGCTAGGTTTAGTGTTGATTATGTCATTTTCTCATGTGGCCTATTCTAAATTATCTCGAACTTGTATGGTTCAAGATCTTACATGAGTGATTATGCGCTATGTGATGCTTAGCAGATGCACATGTAAGTTATATTAGAGAAGTCTCATATCGGAGAATTGGTGTGGTGTTGAGTAGTTGGCTCATAACTTATTAGTTTAAGCTTCCGAGTGAAGTTGGAATATGTTGACGGGCGCAGACTTGGGCTTCCTCTTGATGATCTCCCCAAGTGATAATATCGAACTTCTACTTCATGCTCCGAACAAATGGTAATCAATTTGTTCCAATGTTTTATGAATATCTTAAGGAAGGAATATGGTGACTAAACTGGTTGTCAGGTGGTGGGTGTTGTGGTGTAGCTGCGAGGGCCCGACGATAGACTTCATAGTTCGATCTGAAGAAAAAGACTAGAGATGAAAATTGGTGGGAGATTCAAGTTGAGATATTTTGATGCAGAAGGATACTTGAATTAAGGGGAGCGGAAATTCAAGTTGAGATTTCTTGATGCAGAAGAATACCTGAATTAAGGAGAGCAAACCTAACACTGAGTTCACACTTGAAAATGAGATTGTTGATATGTCAGTTGTGTTAGAGAAGTCCCATATCGGAGGATTGGTATTGTATGGAGCAGTTCATAACTAATTGATTTAAGCTTTTGAGTGAAGGTAAGTCCAACGAGCTCGGCTTTGGGCTCCTTCTTGGCGATTGTCCCAAATGATGGAATTGGGCTTCTACTTGCGCGCTCTCAACGAGTCGAGAGAGGGTGATCTGTACAATGAGCATACATCCCACTTTTGAGCCTAGAGATGTCCCCAACACATACTTCGATGACCCTAGAGCGATCCTACACCAACTGCTAATGAGATCACTAAATGTACAAATGCAAACATGAATTAAGATGATATAAAGATACGGAATAAAATGATTATATGAGTATGAACTATTTACTTCTCCGAATGGTCATGTCAAAACGGAATTATATCCACATAAAAACACGATTTAAAAATCCTAGACCTAAATCGATAAACAAATAATTCTAAACCGGAAGGGAAAACGCCTAATCGAAGTCTCACTTGAGAAGGAGTTACATAATGACACTGAATCTCTGATAGGTTTGACTGGTCTTTGTGACATATACCGACAAAAAGGCAAGTAATCGCCACTAGGCTCCCATCACAAGGTAATTTGAAACACGAAAGTTTAGAACTGAATTGCTCATCTCACTGGGATGAGAGCAGCATTCCGGAACGTCGAGAACATGTCCATGAATTTCACCTTCCACAGTCCCCTCTCCTTTCTTCTGGATTACCTTTTTTTGGCTACTGCTCGACTATGTTTGCTGCTTTTCTACATCTCTGAATGGCCCAGAGTGTGTGTATTCCCCTTTAGGAAGCTGATTGGTGCTTCTTCTAGTGGCCCAAAATAGACCCCATGTATCATGAAGAATTCATGGGCAATCAGGACTCGGTGGGAGTCCGTGGATCAAAGAGAGAGAGAGACCTTCACTTTTGTCCTTTTTGAACATCCATTTTCACAAGAAATGAAGGAGATCCGGCTGCTGTCCTAGAATTTCAAAAGGATTGTGAATGCCAATTCATATGCTCTCCCCCTCTCTCCCGTCATTTCCATCTCCTTCTCCTGGTCTAAGTTAAATTCATTTCCAAACCTAGCTCCAGTTTTGTGATTGCTTTCCATTGGGCTGAGCTTCGTGGGTTTGAGTCACATGCCGGGCTGTTCGCGGAAAACTATGTTGATGTTTGATGCGGGCATGTCATTCTTGAGCAAAAGACGTCCCTAGTTTCTAAGTTGGGGGAAAATGCAGTGACAGATGAGATTATGGGAATATGCAGTATAGATGTTTCAACATTGCCGGCGGGATTCGACCCCTATTTTCATTCCTACTAGTTTAGATTCCCAATCGACTTAAGAAATGATTGGTGACGACTTGCAGAGCGATTTTAGATTTGAATCATAGCAGCATACTCTGACCTAGGGAAGGGAAGACTCTAGGCCATAGACCATGGGATGGATTTTTATAATTTACATTATATTGCTCGTCTTTTAATTTGACTTTGTTCATTCGAAAGCAAAAGTTATAATTTTCGGAAACCTTGACTATCTATTGACTAATTGAATGCTAGGCAAACAAATCGGATGACATTTGCGATTGGTATACCATTGTGAATTGATCCGAAAGAGAAATTGTTAATATCTTACGAAATATCGCATATTTTTTTTTAAAAAGAACAAATCTTAGCTGGAAGTTCTTTTGTATGTGTATTTTGGAAAATGCGTCAGGTAATCTCATTTTAATTGCCTGTTTGTTTACACTTAAATAGAAGCAATAATTAAATATTTTTATATATAATTTTAAAATTTAATTTTTTAAAAAAAAATTTTTTATTAATAAATTTTTATTTTTTTAATTTTTAAAAAATTTTAATTTTTTTAATTTAAAAAAAAAAAAATAATAAATATTAAAAAATTTAAATTAAAAAAAAAAAAAAAATAAAAAAAAAAATAAAAGTGTTTTTTTTTTTTTTTTTTTTTTGAAAAATTAAATTTAAAAAAAAAATTTTTTCATTTTCCAACTTTTTTTTATATATTTAAAATTAAAAAAAAATGTTTTAATTTTTTTAAAAAAATTAAAATTTAAATTTAAAAATAAATTTTGAATTATTATTATAAGGGGGTTTTTGTGTGAGGCCCCAAATAAAAAACTAAAAAATATACAAAACCAAACCAAAACAAAATTAAGATTAGGAAATTTTGATGGGAAAGGGGGCTTGGGTTTTGGGGCGGGGGCCGGGGGGGGGTTTTGCCGAACCCTGGGGCTTGAAAAAGGGCCCAAAGAAAAAATTTAGAGTACATTACCAAGACCCAAAAAAAAACACATAAAATTAAAAGATTAATAAGAGTCGTAAATATAGAGATTTGAGTCCAAAGTTGGGAACTTGGAACCCGAAGTAAAAAAAAAGAAGTTTGGGGGGGTCGGCTTAGCGGGAAGTTGGCGTGCCAGGTTGGAAAGTTTAATAAATAGTAAATAAAGTCAAGCAAAAAAAAATTGTATTGAAGGGTTGAATTTAATTTTTTATATAAAAATTTTTTTTTTTATAAAAATAAAATTTATATTTTTTTTTCAATTAAAATTTAATTGTTGAGAAAGAAAAGTGAATTATTTTACTAATTGAAAATGTGGATTAAAAAATTATGTGTCTTCGATGTTAATTATCATACTCAGACAATGATAATACATTTCCCTCGGGTCCAAAGGTCATGTGCCAACACCATAGATTGGATTGCCTACTATTATCTCTCTAGTTTATCCATTAAGGACTTTCAGGGTGAAAGAACGAAGAAGCAGAAAGAGGAGAAAAATGAAAAAGACAAGCCAAGTTCTCCCCTCAGTTTGCCGTACAACGCCTCTCTTCAACCGCTCAAAGGGAACAACTGTAATTTTACTAATGAATCACTCAATCTGAATAGCCTCTCTTCTTCTTCTTCTTCTTCTCCTCTCACAAAAATTTCGAAAATTCTCATTTTTCCATTCAGAATGTTCATTCTCTAGCTTTCTTCTCTTCCGAATCATAGCCCAAAGGTTGCCCAACATCTCTCTGCTCGCCAAACCCTTCTCAGTCATGATCAGAAGGTAGAGAAACGAAAGGTTAATATAAAGTTAAAAGCCAAAGCCATAATCGATCTTACATAGAAGATGGTTTCCCATAATGTTAATTTCACAAAAGGAAACTAATAATCCCTTGCTTTAAATGGGGTTTAATTATATTAGTTCTCACAAATTTTCACAATGGGTATATGAGTAAAACTTGGGATGGAGATTAAAGAATGTCACAGAATTGAG